CCTTTGCCTTCATCATCTAGCTCAAGCCTGCCGGAAACGCCTCAAGCCGCAGCATCATCTCCGGACGTCGTTGCGGAAGTTTCGTCTTCGCGACCAATGACCCCTTCCCCTGATGACAACGATTCAGAGATGGATGAGTTCACAACTTTCTTTCGCGCTCTTGGTTTCGATCATCATCGGCCACTTATCCCGCAATCCTCTCGGCCTCTCGTTGAGCTTCTCTCCTCTTCCAATGTATGGGCCATGTCGGTAAAGGAACGCCTACTCCTTGCAGCTCATTTGGAGGAAGAAATGCGCCATCTAGCTTATCAAAACAACCTTGACGAGTTCAACATGCTGCGACAGAGGTACGAAGCGGCATGCGAGGAACTCGAGAACGTAAAAAATGAGGTACGCTATCTTAATGGATGTACTCTTGTGTCCATTGCTCAATGCAGAGCAGAGTCGACGAATGTTGCTCAGCAGAACGGACCTCATTGGATGTACCACAACCGGTATGGCTCATCTTTCTGGTTTGGTATCATCCTTTGACTGAGCATCCCTCTCACTGGCAGGGGCGGCCAAACTTGTCTCTTTGCTGACCGTATATCTGTCTGCCTCGGGTGTTGACATGATGCTCACTGCTTCTCCTAGATGATAAAACCAAAGGTTCTCCTAGTCGAAGAAGCTGGACAGGTTCTTGAATCTCATATAATCGCGGCCCTAGTGCCCTCAGGTAGCAATCGCACCTGTCTTTTAACCCTGGGATACTTACGATTGGCTGCAAGTTGAACATCTCATTTGCATCGGTGACCCGCAGCAACTGCGACCGAATTTGGCAAATTTCAGTCCGTCTCGCCTTATAACTGCATAGAAGACCCTTTTGCTGATAAATATCAAGTGCTGTCAATGGACAGCCAGTCTGGTCGCGACTTGTATAAGTTTGACCGTTCTCTCATGGAGCGTCTAGCCTCCTCCAACTGGCCAATGTCCCAGATCAATGTCCAGAGACGCATGCGGCCGAGCATCTCGCACTTTATCCGGTTTGTATACTTACAACTAACACCATTCTGTTGTGATTGATGCGTGTCTAGCACAATTCTCTATCCTAAGCTGGAGGATCACGAGGTCGTGCACCACTATCCACCTGTACAAGGCATTCAGCGCGAAGTTGTGTTCTTTTCGCACGCGAACCATGAGAATACTGAGGCGGACTCCGTATCAAAATACAATATTTTCGAGGTCCGCTCTTCGATTGTCTTGCTTGCATTCATCACCTACTCTGATACCATGAAGGTGGGCATCATCAGGGACCTCGTCATTTACTTCTTGAAACAAGATGAATACAACAATGCAGGTGACATAGCGGTGCTGTGAGTCATTCCCCGCGCATTGACTATTCTAGTGTCTGACGAGAAAATCTCAGGTGCGCGTATCTGGGACAATTGCAGAAGGTTAGGGCTGCTTTGCGTGATCTGAAGATTGCCGTCACAGTTAGCGAGAGGGATGAAGAGCAATTACTGCGTCAAGGCGAGGAGATCGGTATGGATGGCTTTGAACAGGTCCAGGTGTCGAGACATGTACGTTCGAATGATCTAGGGTCGGGACTCACGTTCAAGGGCCTTCGCTTTCTCTCAGATTCGTCTAGGAACAGTGGATACTTTCCAAGGCGAGGAAGCTAAAATTGTCATCGTTTCACTAGTTAGGAATTCTGGTTCCTTCGAGGAGGGATCTTCTATCGGCTTTTTGAAGGTATGGTAACAACAGCATGAACTTGAATTGGCTACAGAACGATGCTAATTTCCCTGAATTCCTTTACAGAGTTCCAACCGTATCAACGTAGCACTGTCCCGAGCTAAACATGGTCTCTACATTATCGGAAACGCGTCTAACCTGCGCCAGAACCCAACGTGGCGGAAGGTGCTAGATGAGATGGAAGCAGATGACCAAATCAGCCCTGGAATTCCCGTCGTGTGTCCTCGTCACCCCGAACAGCGGATGATCATTACGAAGCCAGGACAGCTCGCAACATTTTCTCCGGAGGGCGGGTGTTTACTTCCTTGCGAGTACCGGATGCCATGTGGGCATGTTTGCCAATCTGTGGTAAGTCAATTAGCAGAGCCCGCATCTAGTTTCCCCAATAAGTTGACCGCAATAGTGTCACGTCGACCGGGATGGCCACCGTCGTATGAAATGTGACCAGCCTTGTCTCCGAATCCAGTGTCCAAGAAACCACCCGTGTCCGAAGACTTGTTCCGAGGTGTGCGGCAACTGCCTCTTCCCGATATACAACGTCACACTGCCCTGCGGGCATGTCAAGGCCAGTGTTGCATGGTATGTCGCTAGTATCACGCGGTCGACCTATACCTTATAATTTTGAAAAGCTTCGAAATGGATGATCTTTCTATTGTTTTCTGTGATGTCAAAATCCCGAAGCACCTCCAAACTTGCGAGCATTCGGCGACCATGGCATGTTCAGAAGACCCCAGCCGCGTTTACTGTGGTGCGCTGTGCGGCGGATCCATGCAATGCTGCACGAAAGCGTGCAAATCGAAGTGCTCAGAGTGTCAAACTGTGACACGCCGCGCCCTAGGTCACTCTCTCAAGTCGGAACCCGCGTCTGGGTTATTGCCGCGAATACATCATCTTCCTCATCCTTGCGAGCGGACATTGGTTTGTCAACATCAGTGCGGTCTGCCTTGCAGTGAAGGGCACCGGTGTAATGTGAAATGCGAAAATCCATGCCGACAGCGATGCACGCATCATTCTTGCCCCAAGCAATGCTCGGCTCCGTGTCCGCCTTGCATGGAGCCTTGTCAATGGCGATGCCCCCACGATTTCTGTCCCGTTGTCTGCGGTTCTGTATGTGATGTTCTCGTCTTCGAGTGCTTTGGCTAATGCGGGCCCAGATTTGCTCTCGCCTGCCTTGTGATGAGCCTTGCGATAAGACTCTCAAATGTGGTCACCCGTGCCCTTCTGGTATGCCCCGCCTCCATTTAACATGTCTGTCCGCCAACGAATTTCCAGTTTGCGGCGAACCTTGTGAGCGCCAGATTTGTGTCACTTGCGCAAGTGAGGACAAGAAAGCCGATATTGTCGACTGGCTGTTACAGCGCACTTTGTCTGAGATCGATCTTGCTTCAGTCGACATCGCGGATCGTCTCATCACTCTTGATTGTAGCCATGTCTTTACGGTCGAGACGCTTGACGGCATCTGCGACATGCGAGCGTATTATGAAGTCGGACAGATAGGCGAGTATCTGGACACGAAGGCACCGCCCGTCGAGTACCAGAAGCCACCATGCTGCCCGACCTGCCGAGGTGCCATCACCGCTCTACGCTATGGTCGCGTCACAAAGCGCGCGAACCTTGACATCCTTGAGCAGAATGTAGCGAGCACTATGTCGCAGGCTCTTGATGCTGTTGGCCCCGACATCGCGGCTCTTTCGGAAGGGATAGAGACCACGCTGGAGGCAACTAGGAAGATACCGTATGCGGCACCGAAGATTAAGGCAGAGGAGTTCGACGGGCTTGATATGCGGCGGCGAGCCTTGCTGGACAAGCAGAGTGACTCGGAGCCGCTTGGCCCTGCTCTACTTTCTCAAGCCCAGATGGTCTCCACCCATGGTTTTGCTCCAGAGGAAGCCCGCGCATGGATGGCAGCATCAGGTGTGCGTGCAATACTGAAGGCCTATCGGAAGGTCCACGAGGTCGCATACACACACGGACCGCACGTCAAGGCTTACGCTGCTGCCCTTGCAACGCTCTACCGCCTAGAGCTCGCTGCAATCGCAGAAGATCCTTTACGTGCTTGTGAACGTCCCGAGCCCGCGGCCATGGTGGCCGTGAATGCGCGCATTGGGCAGCCACCACACAAGGCCGACACTCGCTTTCAAGCCGAGGCTCTTTTCTTCTTGCTCGAACTGCGCTTCCTACTCGCTCAGGCGGCGCAGGCACGTCTCAGCTCTCTTACGACCACTTCTGAAGAGCCGAATGCACAACATCATCATCGCCTGTGGGCGTCTTTCGTGCAGTTTTTGCACGAGATGTGCCTACGCGACGCACACAAGGCACTCGACCTCGCAAGCCGCTCGTCCGCTTCGCGTATTGCCGCGCGGGCTACCATACATATTCTCCGCGCTCAGGTCGAGCAGTTTCGCTTCAACATCATGCTTGAGCGCGACAATGGAGTGAATCCGGGTCCCCTGAGCGATGAGCGGCGTGACGAGTTTCTCCGGCGCGTCGAACAGAGGGAGCATGAGGCACAGAGATTCATTGACCGAGCTAAGACGGCGTACATCCGGACTCGGCCTGTGCAAACGGCAGCAGAACTGTGGGAAGAGCGCTTGTGGTTTGAAGAAGAATGTGGAAGCAAGGTGCAGCGCTTTTTCGACGAGTTTGACAACCTACGGGAGATCATTTGCAAGAACGTCCTCTACCAACCGCTTTCCTTGCAGGAGCGCGAGGACATTGTCAGAGCGTTCAACTTCGGTCTGTCTGAGATCCTCCGTATGTGAGGGTTACTCATCTAGCTTTCTTACAGCCACTCAAGGCCATTTCTACAACTGCCCGAATGGACATACATTCGTCATCACAGAGGTTAGTGAGAACGTTGCCTATGAGCCTCCCAGCTCACGAGTAGTTGCATTCAGTGTGGTGGCGCTATGCAGGCTTCAACTTGTCCCGAATGTCGCGCACCAATTGGTGGAGGAAACCATGCTCTTCTCCGATCAAATACGCGCGCGGAAGAATTCGATGAAGTAGCGAGGAATATGGGTGCCCGCGAGTCGTACTGGGCCGATCCTTGGGGAGAGTTCTGAGGTAGACTTGGCACAGGTGTTGACATTTCTATCTTAGCATAGGATCCATGTTTGATTGCTTCGGCATGTGCTAGCGTAAAGAGTGAATTGGTGTAACATAGCTAGGAATTCAGGAAGCTGCATCTCGACTGACTGCTGTTGGACAATTATGTGAGCATCTCTTTGACAGAAGGCAAAAGACGGCTGCATCATGTATCAAGATGATTCAACCCAGGCTCAAACTGGGGACCTTCTGTGTGTTAGACAGATACAATAACCAACTACACCATCAAACCTCCTATGAATGTTCTGTACAAGCTATTATAGCCAATATTCTGTTGAAGCTAAGATACCCTCTAGAGGCTATGGGCAATAGTATGAGAAGGAAAGATTGGGGCTTGTTGCCCATATTTGGAAGGCCTGTCAGGTGCCTATCATGACGGGGCAGTTCAACTCCGGGCTCTCCAGCTGTTGAGCTGTGCTCTTGTTATGGCTTGACACCTCAGAGTTTGTCACGAGTGCAGGTACTTGCGATGACCTGTACAAGTACTCGTCAGATCAAGCTTACGTGGTTAGGAAATCCGACACGGTAAGCACACGTCTGCACCAACGACTAGCAAGCTCAGAACCGAGATGTGAGACCAACGAGTAAAGGACGGTAGGGAAATTGGAACGAGAAAAAAGAAAACAGTCGCGGAGGAGTGGATTGGATGAGTGGTGGATATTCAATCAAGAAAAAGAAAAAAGATGCATAATGGATGTGAAGAGGATGCAGAAGGAGTTGTGGAACGACTCGACCAATGCCCAGGCTGTAAATAACGTTAGTGAGTGAACCGGAATGGTACGAGTCGAAAGAGAAAAGACTCACCCATACAGCCGCCCAACGATCAAGGCTACCTCGTCTTCGCAAACAAAAAACACACAATCCGATTGAGAGAAACGGGAACCGAGACGACAGAATGAGTCACAAACAGGGAATGAGCGTGGGGGTTGCGAGACAGGAAAGCATTCGCAGACGATTCGAGGACGAGAGTCGAAGACTCGAGTGGATTCTACCCCCTAAAATAACAAGGCAAGTAAGAGTCGTCAGTAGTGATCAAGATGATGGCAGAAACGATGAGCTTACCTAGTCAGCCATGGCCGCGAGGAAGGCGGGGATGTCGTCCCAGTAGAGGTTGGCGCCAGGGAACTCGGCGAGAATGAGCTCCCAATCGTACTCGAAGAGAGTGGCGTAGGTGATGTCGGTTCCATCCGTGCCCTTGTTGGTCCTACCACTAACCTTACCAACGTACGCGCCTTTCGCAGAGACACCCATAGAGCCAGAATCGCCGCCCTTGGAGAAGGGTCCAGTGACGTTCTCGTGGGGGAGGATGGCGAGCTCGAGGGACTCGAGGGTGCCACTGATGTTGTACTTGCGAACAAACGAGATGAAGCGAGAGAGAGTCCCGACCGTCGTATTGGTGGTAAAGCCACGTTTGATGATGCGACGGATGCGATCGCCCTGGGAGTCCAAGCTGTTGGGATTGTTGACCTCGTTGGCTGTGAGCATACCACGCATGGGGAGAAGGCCGTGGGGGGGATACTTGAACTCCGAAGGGACATCGATGCGCTCGTACATGAGGCGCTTGAAGTCCTCAGACTTGATCTCAGGTCCTAAAAAAAGGAGAAGAACATGTCAGATCAGCAAGTTCGACGAGAATACCAAATCAAAATCGCACCAAGGCTAAGCACGTTGCCAATGAAGGCGAGGAACTTGGGCTTATACAGCTGGACCACACACAGGTCCTGCGTGAAGCGGTTGAGACCAACACCAGCAGCGATGGGAGGAGCCCAGACGATGTGGCCGATGATACGGTCGCTCAACCTATTCCACTTCCGGGACAAAGTGACGTAGAACTTCTTGAGTTCTGCGATCCTCCTGTTGATCTTGATGAGCTCGGCCTCGTTCTCCTCGAGCCTTTCCTGCGACGCCGGGAGTTTGATACCCTGCTGAACCCGTTCGGTCAAGGTCTTGATGAGCGCCTGGAGAGTCGTGACCGTCTCGTTGAGAGTGCCGATATGGACCTGAACCGAGTCAACGTAACTGTCGAAAGCAGGCTTGCCCATCACGACGACGTCTCGCTTAGGAGCAGAAGCTGTGAAGACACTTAAGTCAGGAAAGCTAGTTCTTCGAAAGTAAATCAGAAGACGTACGGTGATATTCATACTTGGCGTTGCCATCGTCGGCCATGAACAAGTTGTGACGACAGGTGAGAGCGTAAAGATTGCCGTTGTGATGGAAGTAAGGGCACAGAGTCCCTTGCATAGTGGTCTTGCGACCGGAAATCGTGATGCTGTGGGCGACGGAGACATTATCGATGAAGTTCTGGAGAGGATCGTTGGTTTCGGTAGGGGCGTAGAGAGCTGGTCCAGTGCCCATGGAGGAGCGAGCGACGGATTCACGGAAAGCGATATCCACCCTCGAGGTGGGATTGGGGCCGTCGAGGTGGGCACGAATCTGCTTGGTCAATTCCCAGGCACGAGTACCGGTGAGCGTGTCGGGAAGAGCTCCGATCCAGATGGTCGCATTGGAGCAGACACGCGTGCCGTCCTCGACGGGCTGCTTGGCGGGTTTGCCAGTCGTGAGAGCAGCAAAAGCAGCATCGATATCCTCCCCCTCATCCTGACCCTCATCCGCCCTCGTGTCCTCTCCTTCGTCGTCGGACTCGAGTTCGCGATCCGCCAGCTTGTCAAGCCAGGTAAACATGACAAAGTCGATGGAAGAGACTTGGATGTCCTCCTTGATGAGGAACGCCTCGATCTTGAAAACGAATAGAGTCAGCTCTACAAAGCTACAATGGAAATGGAAGAAGTAACGTACCCAGTCACGAGTTTGATCCCACAGCCCTTTCTTCGCGAACTCGTGATGGACGGGCACGTCAACAAGGCGCATCTGACGAACAACCGTGTATGGTCCAGTCGGTTCTTCGAATTTGTCAGCAGAGTCGCGGCAGATAAGACGAGGGTGGGAGCCCTTGGGACCAAGTCCGTAATAATAGTAGTAAGCTTCGAGCTTCGAGACCTTATGAGAGTCGGTGTCGGCGGTGGTGGCGGTGGTGTTGTTGGCAGAACTGGACCAGAGAGTGCGCTCGTCCTCGGACAAGTCGCCCTCGTCAGACGAAGCCAGAGCACGCTCCTTTGCCTTTCGATTGCAGGTGCCGTCGAAATCGGAAGTGTTGACCCAATATTCGAGATCCTGGAGAACGGGAGGGCTATCTTCCTGGGCCGGATAAAGAAGAAAGATCGGGATAAGTCAAGTCGAATAACGACAAGAAGGAAAGAAACACACTGTAGGCAGCGAGGTTATCACCCGTATCAGACATAGTAGAACGGTTGTTGTTTCAAAAAGAGTCAAAAGCTTTGGTAGAGCGAGTTGAGTGCGTGGAAGGAGGCAGATGTGGTTGATGGAGGGAGAGGGAGAGAGCGTGAAGGATAAGGTCCTTTATACTCGAGAACGCAGTCATTCTCTCTTCTAAGCCCACGGCGTAACTACTGATGCTGTCGCTAGCGACACATCCTGAGGAGCTCCCGCGGCTTATTCGTCGTGCCATCATGTCCGTAAGACCATCCATCAGATGCACGCAGATCGTTCAAAGACTGGATATATGTCGTATACTTAACCACTTACCAGAGTGTCCAAACCACTCAGGACAGTATTAAAAGGACGTAGGTCAGAGAGCAAAACAAGACCATCCGACAGTCATCCGCGTCACGTCGTGCCTGTTGCAAATACGACCAAACACCCGCAAAATTCGCGCGATTTTCACACTTCAATGCAAACGACAATAATTTCAGTAACAGCTGTAGTCACCTCGACTGTGAAGCGACTTCACCTTGAGATAGCTGCGCCCTCAATAGTCTCAACTTTAGGCACTACAATGTGCCATGGTCTACCATGCCTGCTCACATAGTTTTCCTCGGCGCACCTTCTGTCAATGATCCCGTAACATCTTCCAACTACGCATGGACGACGATAACATGTCCAAATGCGACTAGCTCTCCCGGAGAGAAATATCGCTCGTCATCTTGGGCTGGGTATGCGCCTGCAACCCTCAAAGCAGCGAGTCGACGTATCTCAATGCTGTATGAGAACATCATTTTTAGTGAGCAAAGCTCGTATGGAGTAGAGGACGGGGACATGTCCAGCCTAGCAGATGACAGCGGTATGCAGCGATGTGTGTATAGTTTCTCCTCACCAACCGCTGCTCGCCATAACTGCTATGGTCCACGCAGCAGAACAGATGTCTGCCCACCTCTGGAACCCAGCAGGGACAGGCTCAATTGGTGTGGAGACGTTTCTCTACGCGTCGCCGTCGCGATTACAGTTCGTCCCCGGTGGGGAAACGCAAGTCGAGACGCAGCAGACGACACTCTCATCCGACGAGTCCTCTTTTACCCTACTCCCATCCTTCCGCTTCCACCTCTCCAATATTACATCCCTCTCAGCCCTCCGTACGGTATCTCCACCTCGCAGATCCACCGTTCTTGTTGCCGTACTCGAGCTTGATGGCCCGGACTTCGTGAGGATCAAGAATGGCGCGGATGCGGGGAAGGAGATTGCGGTGCTTAAGATCATAGTGGGAGATGATGATGGTGCTGTTGCGAAGTGCACGGCATGGCGTGATGTTGCTAAGATGTGGGGTGACGCGGGAGGACTGAAGCGTGGCGACGTAGTGTGCTTTTCTAGTGCGTCTCTATCCTCCTCCACTCTTCACAGCTTACATTTCGTAGATGTACAATCTTCGTGGGATAGATTGAGTCCGTTGACGCTCACCGCTTCACCGAGCCTCAAGTCACAAGCAGAGATATGCTATCGCACGATGCCACGGGCATCATTCGCGGAAGCTGACGGGCGGCTGCGACCCGAACTCGCACTTGCAATGGGAGATCCTGCCGTTCGACGGGTTACAGCTCTAGTTCAGTGGTTTGAGAAGATGGCGGGTCTTCCACGATGATCTTTGGAGCCCCTTGTTACCTATTTGCTCCCTCTGGGGGCGAGTATCACGCGTGATCGCGTTGTGCTCTGAGGCCTTGAATTCCATTCCAGCCATGTGTCTACCGCATGTTACGGCAGGAAACGGTAGAGTGTGCACACACCGCCCTGTGTGCTAGGGTAAGGTCCAGAGACGGGAGGGTGGCTAAGGTGGGACTACATCGGGCATAAAGTGGCAAGCGGAAGGGGAAGGGACGTTGCAGGGAAAGGCAGAGAGATGAAAACACCGCTAGAGGGAGGAGTGGAGGATGTCGTGGGTGACGC